AAAAAGAAGAATTCTCCATACATTTCTCCACAGTAGCTACACTAATTTGCATTCCCATCAACAATATATAATAGTTCCCCTTTCTCTATATCCTTGCCTGCTTTTGTTACTCTTGTCTTTTGAATAATAGCCATTCTGACTGGGGGGAGGTGGTATCTCATGGTGGTTTTGATGGTGATGGTGAATATTTTTTATATATTTCTTGGCTTTTTGTATTTCTCCTTTCGAGAACTGATTTGGTTATTTTTGTTGTTGAGTTTTTTTAAGTTCCCAATATACTTTGGCTATTAATCCTTTTTGGATAAGTAGCTTGCAAATATTTTTTCATTCTGTGAGGTGTCTCTTCACTCTGTTGATTGTTTCCTTTGATAAGCTGAGCTTCTGAGTGTGCTGTAATTCTATTTGTCTGCTTAGATTTTTCTACCAAATTTCACTGAGAGATACCCTGGGCTTCCCTTCCAAAGGCTGGTCTATTCCTAAGGACTGCATATGTTTTTGTTCAACCATTCAAATTAAGGAAGTGCTTTTTCCTTGTGGTGATGAAACGCTAGAGTGCGCTGATACCAAAATGTAGGGTTTGGGAAATTGATGCTTAATATTTAAGAACATGTTCAATGCAAATATTAAAACTTAATTCCTTTGCTGATTATTTTGTTGTTACTTTTTTTTTAATTTGTAAAATTGACCACTTTAAAGGCAAGAATAAAAAATGAACCAGTAACATATCATTCAGAAATAATGTTCTATTAAAATCATATTTTATTTTTGTCTTTTTTCCTCTATGTAATCTGTATTTTTATTAATTGGGATCCTGTGATAGAGTTTTAAGTTTTGATTTTTTCCCGTTACTTGGAATTCACTTTGTCTACTTCTGTATTTGGTCCCTGTTAATGGTTTTGAGTAAGAGGGAACAGCCCTGCTGTCAACAGACGGAATTCTGCTAGGATTTTGATTGTGTAGTCTTTCCATTATTCTCAAAGAAGGACACACATTTCAGACTGACCAATCAAAAGACCCCACATCCCTGTATTTATTTCTGTGACAGAAGCAAGGCCAATCAGAACAGTTATCTCCCATGCTGGATGAAGGTGGGAGAACACTGCACTTCCTGCTGTGACCCTAATACAAAGGTGACAACCATTGACTCTGCCCTTGTCTGGAGAGAGACTTCCTGAGAACGGAATCAGTGTGCAGAGTGGAGAGGGGCAGTGCAAACAAGAGCCCAGTGAAGAGTTTAGCTTCATTCTCCTGTTGGACCCCTGGGACTTTCATCTTCTGTGAGTCAACATAGTTCCTTTGACATTTAAGATTGTTTGTTTGGGATTTCTCTCACTGTCAATCAGGCAGTCCAGTTATGATGATATTATAGCACAAAATATTTTATATATCTAAAATTCCATTGAGCGACACATTTGCAAATTCTGGAAAATAGTCCATTCAAAGAATATATAATTCATGAATATAGAGTACTGCCTCAATAACTTTTATAAAAATGATTATTATTGCTAACATGGTTATGAATAGGATTTAATTTAACCTTTTCTATATTTTAATGCTTATATTTTCAACAATTTTAATATTTATATTTTCAAAAATTTCAGATTTTTGTCTCTTGTTGCCCATCCTTCCATAAACATTTTTGCAACTTAGAATCCTAACTATTAAAACCCTGGGGCTAGAGCAAACCTTTGGTGCTGTGGTTGAGATGCCATTTGGGACACCAGCATCCCACATTAGCATGCCTGGGTTTGTGTTGCCTCCACTTCTGCTTCCATCTTCCTAGCGATGTGCACCCTGAGAGGCAGCTGGAGACGGCGCAGGTGCTTGAGTCACTCACATGGGAGACCCAAATACGTTCTGTGCTCTTGGTTTCAGCCTGGCCCAAGCCTGGCTGCTGTGGTCATATGGGGAGTGAACCAGTGGATGTGAGATCTTTCTGTAGCTGTCTGTCTGTCTCTCTGTCTTTCAACTAAAGTTAATTAATTGATTATTGGAGAATTATAAGATTTTCAAGGTTTTTAATTATATTTCTCTTTTCAGAAACAATTATAACAATTTATTTCCTCCAAAAAATGCGTGATTTGCCACTTCATCACACTCTTAGCAACACTGAATTTATGGGGTGTTATAATTGTCACCAATTTGAAAGATATAATTTTAATTCTTCCTTTTGTGAATGAAGCTATGTAATAATTATGATAGTTGTCTATTAATGTCTTACTGTAAAATTTTAAAGCATTTTGCTTTTTCTCTTTAAATATTGACTCACATTTAGCCGGCGCCGCGGCTCACTAAGCTAATCCTCCGCCTAGCGGCGCCGGCACACTGGGTTCTAGTCCCGGTCGGGGCGCCGGATTCTGTCCCGGTTGCCCCTCTTCCAGGCCAGCTCTCTGCTGTGGCCAGGGAGTGCAGTGGAGGATGGCCCAGGTGCTTGGGCCCTGCACCCCATGGGAGACCAGGAAAAGCACCTGGCTCCTGGCTCCTGCCATCGGATCAGCGCGGTGCGCCGGCCGCAGCGCGCCGGCCGCGGCGGCCATTGGAGGGTGAACCAACGGCAAAGGAAGACCTTTCTCTCTGTCTCTCTCTCTCACTGTCCACTCTGCCTGTCAAAAAAAAAAAAAAAAAAAATTGACTCACGTTTAAAACACCATTAAATCATTAAATTATCCATTATCAATTAATATATATTGATCTATCTAAAGAACTCAGCCCAACCTTTTCTTTTTACTGGTTCATTCCCCAAAAGGCTGCAAGGGCCAGGGCTGGGCAAGGCTGAAACTAGGAGCCTGGAACTCCGTCTGGGTCTCCCACAACAGTGCTGGTGCCCAAGGACTTGAACCATTTTCTACTGCTTTCCCAGGCACATTAGCAGGGGACTAGATTGGAACTGGAGCATCTGGGACTTGAACTGGCACCGTATGGAATGCTGGCATTTCAGGCAGTGGCTTAACCCACAACTGCACCACAACACTGGCTCCTAAAATAGCTTTTGAAGGATAAAAACTTTTAAAGGGATGATAGAATGGATTTTTTTCCCCAAATAATTGATAGTGGGATAGTGTGCAAACCATAAAAGAAACTTCTTACTATACATTAACATAAATTCAAGATGGATGCAAATTTTTTAAGAAACGTATAAAAGTAGCAGAATAGAACATAAATGAAAATGCACAGACTTTGAGATAAAGTATTTGGAGAAGCATGAAATCAAAGGTTGAATTAATAAATAAAGGATTAAGAAGCTTGAAAATCTAAAAAATGAAGATGTGTCGTGCACTGACACCGTGAGTGACCTCAGTATGCACTTCAAAAAGTTCATGGAGGGGCTGGCACTGTGGTGTAACAGGTAAAGCTGCCTCCTGCAGGGTTGGCATCCCATATGGGCACTGGTTTGAGTCCTGGCTGCTCCACTTCTGATCCAGTTCTCTGCTTATGGCAGTGGAAGATGGCCCAAGTGCTTGGGCCCCTGCACCCATGTGGGAGACCTGCAAGAAGCTCCAGGCTCCTGGTTTTGGATCATCTCAGCTCTGGCCTTTGCAGCCATTTGGGGACTGAACCAGTGGATGAAACACTTCTCTTTCTGTCTCTCCCTCTGTCTATAACTCTACCTCTCAAATAATAAATAAGTCTTTAAAAAATAAAAAAGAAATTAGAACAGGATTTTGCCAGGCTCAGTGTAAAACTTTAAGCAAGTTCCCTTCATAAAGAGATGCCTATTATAATAACTACAACCATAATACTAAAAATAAGTAGTTAACCTTGTGCTTGGCACATACCTTCTTATTGTGCTTATTGTTTATCATTATTTTTAAGGGTAGTTTCAACAATGCATTTGCCTTAGCTGCTCAAATTTAGACCTTGTTTGATCCCCTTCCCCAAGGTTGTGACTAACACCAAAAAAGAAGATAATGAAAAATGTAGTTAAGGAATTTTCCTCATCAAAGCAGAATGCTAAGGAAGGGGTTGGTGATTCACTTATGTCTCTCTCTCTCTCTTTCTCTTTTTTTTCCCTGACAGGCAGAGTGGACAGTGAGAGAGAGAGACAGAGAGAAAGGTCTTTCTTTTTGCCATTGGTTCACCCTCCAATGGCCGCCGTGGCACCACGCTGATCTGACGGCAGGAGCCAGGTGCTTCTCCTGGTCTCCCATGGGGTGCAGGACCCAAGCACTTGGGCCATCCTCCACTGCACTCCCGGGCCACAGCAGAGAGCTGGCCTGGAAGAGGGGCAACCGGGACAGAATCCGGTGCCCCGACCAGGATTAGAACCCGGTGTGCCGGCGCCGCAAGGCGGAGGATTAGCCTGTTGAGCCGCGGTGCCGGCCTTTAGGTCTCTTTTTTAAAAACCATTTTTTTTTTTTTTTGCTTTTACTTATTTGAAAGGCAGAGTTACAGAGAAAGAGAGGGAGAAATCTTCCATCTGCTGTTGTGCTCCCTAAATCCACTGCTTTCCCAGGAATGTGAGCAGGGAGCTGGATTGGAAGGGGAGCAGCTGGACTTGAACCAGCACCCAAATGGGATGTTGGCGACGTCCCAGGCAGTGGCTTAACCCGCTAAAGCCACAACACCGGCTCCACTTCGTGTCTCTTTTCAGAGCAAGTTCTCAACTCCTGGGAAGGGCCAGCAGCACTCGCTCCAGATGGAGAGAGCACGGGAGCCACTCTCCCTCCTCTGCCACGGCTACCTTGATCTCCTTTTCCTTCTCCCTCACCCTTCACCCTTCCCGTGCTCCATTCCTCCGTTTTTCCTGAATTCTTTTTCTTCCTTCTTCTGTTTATTTCTCTCCTTGTTCTCCTTTCTTTCACCTTTTCCTTGCTTATCCACAATCTCTGGGCTAATTATACCCTTTATAAGGTAATTTTAGTAATTCAGAGGAAACAAATTGTGAATTGTCAATTAAAGTAGTTAGCATTCAGAATAGCAATAAGTGTTAGAAAAATTGCCCTACAAATGAAATAAAATACTGCCCATTTTCACAATACATTATATCTCCTTACCTCTTTCACTCTCTACAGAAAAAAGATGAAAATTCTCATCTCCAAACATCCGCTGCCTCTAGTGCTACTGCTGCTGCAGCTGCTACAGCCACTACAGTTTCAAGACAATGAGAGACGCTACGATTTGCCACCTGATAAAGCAGATGAATTTGAAGATTATTTGGAAGAATTTAGTAGTACAGGGCCTACCAGACCACCTACCAAAAAAAAATTCATAAGGCTTTCCCTTATTGGAACAGAAAGGACATTAAGTGATTCCTTCTTCTGCACTGATACAGTCAGGCTAAAAAATGTTCACAACAAGTCTCGTTGTGTGACGGAACATAATTTCATCGTAATGCCATACGATGATGTGAAAAACCTCTGTTACACAAGGTATGTCGAGTGTAAGAATGGGATCAAGAAATGTCACAGAAGCAGGCTGCCGATAGAGGGAGTGTATTGTAAATTAAGAAGAGGGACCACTCTACCTGACTGTGATTATGATTCAACTTATAAGATGGGCTTTGTCCTAATTACTTGTCGATGGCAAAATAGTATCAAAAAACTTGTTCCTGTTCATGTAAATGATATCCTGGTGCTACAGGATTGAACACAAAAACATCCCAAGTGAAGCCTTCCTCGGTGGTGCAGGTGTCTCCCAGAACAAAGATGCCCTCCATGAAGAAGAAGAATTTCAGAAGTCAGAGTGAGAGGATATCACACTCTCCACATGAATCTTTCTTCATCAAAATTGAGAATGGTTATTTCATTCCATTAATTGTAATTATCAGCCTCCCTCCCTTCCTGTCCGAACATCACTCAAAGGCAATGTAGGCTGGGTTCACTGCGAGATGGTTTCACCCAGGTCTCACAGTTCCACATGTTTTGAATGGGTCATGGGTATGCATGCCTGCCGTGGGAGGAAGGGCGACCAGCACTAAAAGGAACGGGAAGAGGTTGCCGGAAGCATCCTCCAAAGATGCAGTCACGTAATTCTCTAGTTCAGCAGAAAGAATAAAGTGCTTCAAAATGCAGCGACTTTGGTGTGCCTATGTGTGGTTTCCAGGTATGAAACTCTTTCTAGGGGCGTGACTTGACACCAACAGAACTCAAATTCCTTTGAGACATTTGTGTAAGCCACCCTCCTGGGCTGTCTGTAGATCATTCACATGTCCTGTTGCTCCTATACAACACAACACAACACAACACAACACAGCACAACACAGCACAGCACAACACAGCACAACACAGCACACATAACCAAAAAAAAGTAGCTCAGGTAGGGGACGCCTCCGGGTAAACCCCTTGAGATACTTGGAAAAGCAAACTCCCCAAAGTACTCTCAGCCGTGCAGTGCTGTCTCTGTGGATTCCTAGATCTCTAGTTTAGACATCAGTGTTCATAAAAACTAGAAATAAATCCTCACTTCCGGCACAGGAACAATGTCTTTTTTTATGTTTTAAACATTTATTTATTTGAAAGGCAGAGTTACAGAGAACGGGAGAGAGAGATGGGGCAGGGGGGTGGAGAGAAAGAGAGAGAGAAATATCTGCCATCCATTGGTTCACTCCCCAAATGGCCACAAAGGCCGGAGCTAGGCTGATCTGAAGCCAGGAGACAGAAACTTCTTCCAGGTCTCCCACATGGGTGCAGGCACATTAGCAGGGAACTGGATCGGAAGTGGAGCAGTCAGGACTTGAACTGGTGCCCATATGTCATACCGGCACTGCAGGCGGTGGCTTAACCTGCTATGGCAGAGCACCTGCCTCTCCACAGTGCCTCTCGCCACCTTCCCGTAGATGTGGTCACACCGCTGCATATACCTCCTCAGAAAAATGCTGAAGAGTCGGTCTGCTAACAGAAATCTTCCCAACCAGTTTAAGTCACAATATCAAACTTCTTAACATTTTTAAAATTATTTTTCCTTAAAAACTTTCTGAAATTGTGATAAAGAGTAGTAATGGGAGATGATAGGAAGAGCATCCATTGCCTTCACACATTTCACCCAGATCCAATCTCTGATCTACTCCCAATCCCTTATCCCTGTCTTTAGATTCAAAGTTAAGATCCTAATTTACCAATCAGTTGAGATAAATGAAGGGCTGGGGCCAAGAGTCCTTTTCACTAATCAAAACGAGGGGTTACCAGAAAAATCATGCTTCTAGACACCTATTTTAACTTGGAAGGATATGGCTTTTAATTGCAATGTCTGATGAAGAGGGGGCCCATTGAACTTTGTGAATCTCCATGAAACTAGAACTCAACACTACACAGGTGCTGAAGAAATTACACCCGTGGGTTAGTCTGGCTGTCTTCTGTAGACCATCTCTCTGGGTCCTGCTCACCTCACTAACCCTGGTAGTTATACAACATAGAATATGAGAGCACAGCATAATATAGTAACTGAGGCATTGATATAATCATAATCTATCTTCCTCGCCCCAGATGCCAGTGTGATCCACATACCTTTTAGAACTAGAATAATGGAAATAAAAATCATCTACACAGATATTTCTTGCTATATAATATTGCATTAAAAATTCAGAAACTACCACCTGGCACCTAAATCTCACATGTGGGTGGCAGAGGTCTAGGTATTTGGGCCACCTTTCATTGCCTTCCCAGGTGCATTAACAGGGAGCTAGCTCAAAAGTGGAGCAGCCAGGATGTCAGTGCCACCAGAAGTGCCTTAACCTGATGCAGCATAACACCAGCCCTGATTCTTTGTATTTCTATGATATCAGCTGTAATGTCTCCTCTTTTATTTATAATTTTATTTATTTGAGTCTTCTCTCTTTTTCTTTGTTCAGGAATAAGTTTGTCAATATTGTTTATCTTCTGGAGGCCAGGGCTGAGGCACAGCGGGTTAACGCCCTGGCCTGAAGCACTGGCATCTCATATGGGCGCTGGTTTGAAACCCAGCTGCTCTACTTTTGATCCAGCTCTCTGCTACAGCTTGGGGAAGCAGTGCAAGATGGCCCAAGTCCTTGGGCCCCTGCACCCACGTGGGAGACCTGGAAGAAGCTCCTGGCTCCTGGCTTCAGATCAGCTCAGCTCTGGCCATTGTGGCCAATTGGAGAGTGAAGCAGAGGGTGAAAGATTTCTACTCTTTCTGCCTCTCCTTCTCTCTCTGTGTAACTCTGACTTTCAAATAAATATAAATTAAAAAAAAAATTATGTTGTTTATTTGAGATCCTTATTTTTTCATAATGTAAGTCTTTATTGCTATAAACTTCCTTCCTGTAACTGCTTTTGCTTCATACCATAAATCTTGGAATATTATTTCCATTTTCTTACATTCCAGGATACTAAAAAAAAAAGTTTTAATTCATTCTTTGACCCTTAAGTGTCTTTTTAAATTTCCATATATTTGGGGATTTCCTGAGACTGAATCTAGAGATATGATGGCTTCATTTAAACTTTTTAATCATCTTGGGGAGGCCAACTGCCATTTAGCAAGGACAGTTACGCAACTCAATGGAGAAGTCCATGTGAATATGAGCTGAAACTTCCTGCATGATCAAGGAATCAACACCTCATCCCCAAAGCCATGTGAGCAGCCTTCTTGGAATCAAATCCTGTAGTCTAGTGAAGCTTTCCAGTGACTACGGCTATTAATGGCATCATGGATGCAACTTCTTGAGCAACTCTGATCCAGATCCACCCAGTGTAGCTGTTCTTGCATTCCTTTTTTTTTTTTTTTTTTTTTAAGATTTATTTATTTGAAAGGCAGAGTTACAGAGTGAGAGGTAGAAATAGAGATCTTCCATCTGCTGGTTTGCTCCCCAAATGGCCACAACAGCTGGGGCTGGACCAGGCTGAAGCCAGGAGCCTGGAACTCCATCCAGGTTTCTCATGTGGATGGCAGGGACCCAAGTACTTGGACTATCTTCTGCTGCTTTCCCAGGCACATTAGCAGGGAGCTGGATCAGAAGTGGAGCAGCCACTCACATGGAATTCTGTCATAGGCATTGGCTTAACATGCTGCACCACAATGCAGACCCCTGTTCCTGAATTCCTGATTCACAGAAACTTTGAAATAAGTCTTTGTTGTATTAAACCACAACATTTAGAAGTAATGTGTTACCCAGCAACAGATAACTAATACAGCCTGTATTATGTATTTGTCTGTGGAATATCAGATGATTCTGGAAGAAAACAGCTGGTAATGTGACTGTAGACATGTCGGATACAAATTTACTAGTACTTGAGAATTTCTTCCTCTTTTGTGAATAATCACATTACCGGTTAAGCTTAGATATCATCATTCAGAACTGCCTGAAGTGTTTTCTATTTCTATTCCTACAATTTGGCTATCTCACCCATGTTTCTTTTTCTCATTCCCCAAAGTTGTTGAACCTGAGAAAACATAGTTTCAGTTTGAGAGCTGAAGAATAAATGGGAAAGATAATTACGTTCATGACAAAATTTAGGAATTATGTATCTTTGTCTTTTGTTTCTTCCAAGGACTGCCTTCACCTTGCCATATAAAAATAACTCGCTATAGGGTTATAGCTGAGAAGTGATGTGACAGTGAGGAGAGGCAATGCTTCTTTCATTTAACACGTCCTATCTGCTTCATGAATGTTGCTTTCATCCTTACTCTCTCTTATATGTACCTTCTGGCCACCAAGCAGCCCATGGATGCCTATTTGGGAAAGTTAGTCCTTTTCCTTCTTCTTGAAGTAAAAACATCAAGAAATCTGGTCCCTGGGAAAGACAGTCACCCAGCTCAAAATGTTCCTAATCCTAGGAAACTGGAGGATGAATCCATGTATCAATAATTACACCATAGCCATACAGTAAGGGTTTAACTGACCCTGCATGTTTTTAGTATAAAATTGAACTATGATTTCCTATGAATTCAGAGCAAATGGGAACTCTTATTGTAATACTACAATGTGCATAGCAATTACAACATTTCACATTATATTTTCTCTATAATATGAACATTTTTAATTGTTTTCATATAGTCTTTCATTGTTGGTCATTTTAAGCCTTTGTCACAAGTAAAGGAATCATGTTCTTGGCACACTGTTTATCCAAAGATAGGCTTACCCACTTGCCTTGTTCACAATGAATTAGGTTCAGCAATGAGATCATAAATTTTATTCAAATATTTCTTTTCTTTCTCTCTCATGTGTATGAGACATAAAGAACTTGACATCTATGAAAAACCATACTTTTATGAAGACAATAAAGAAATGGTTCATTCCTTACTCACTGCATTTTGTGCAGTCATTTTATAATTTGCTTTGAATATGAGAGTAAATATTTGCCCAAAATTTCATGGTTGGAAGATCATAAAAGCCAGTGGAAAAATATTATCTAGTTCTTTGTTAGAGATCAAAGGAGATACCTCTGGCAACTAAGAGCCTCTGGAAACAGCCTCTGGTACCAGCAAGAGAACTAAATAGTCTTTACCCAAAATGAGGTTTTGAATTTAGGAATAGTTTCTCAACAAGACTGGATTCTAAAGCTGTATGTTTTCCAACCATTAGATTATAAATTTTAAGAGAACAGGAACATTTATGGTGATAATAAGTATATATACAAAAACAGTCTTATTTCAAGCAATCAAATATTTGAGGCAGGTGTTGTAACATAGTTGGTAAAGCCACTGCCTGTGGCCCCAGCATCCTCTATAGGTGCCAGTTCAAATCTTGGCTGCTCCACTTCCGATTCAGCTCCCTGCTAATGCACCTGGGAAAAGCAGCAAAGAATGGCTCAAGTGCTTATGTCCCTGCAACCACATGGGAGACCCCAAAGAAGCTCCTGGTTCCTGGCTTCAAATTGGCCCAGCTCTGGCTGCTGCAACCATTAGGGGAGTGAACTGGTGGGTGGAAGATCTCTCTGTCTCTTCCTCTCTCTCTGTAACTCTGCCTTTTGAATAAATAAATCTTTTTTAAAAATAAAATATTTGAAAATATTCAGTTTCTAAGATTTCCGTTTGTATTTTGTTAAAATATGAAGTACTTCAAAGGGTTCATGGAAGATGGAATTTTTTTTAAAGATTTATTTTTATTTATTTGAAAGTCAGAGTTACACAGAGAGAGGAGAGGGAGAGGGAGAGGGAGAGGGAGA